GTACTTGACAATGAGGACAGTATGACCTCGAATCGTCGTAAAATCACTTGTTGTCTTTATCGTTTATTTTACTACTGATTTCAAAACCACTTTTGATTAAGATTATCCCTCCTCCTATCCAAAATATGACTCAATTGATGAAAAAGGGGTAAGAAGGAGAAATGCGAAAAAAATAAAGGAGGAAAATGTTAGGGTCAAGACAAATAATTCTATGGCTACAATTGTAGTCTTCATGCATCATAACCACATCAAAATTGTTTTTAATGCTGGTTGAGAGATTTTTGAAGGTTTTCAAAGCTGCAGACTATGACTTTGATACAATTTTAATGTAAGAATACAACCGTTCAACTAATTTTGGCAAAGATTGTAGCTGTTTCTCACTAAAATAATAGATAATATCATCCAGAACATCAGCTGCACCTTGCAAATTGTCTAGTTTTAATCCCATTCAAGACCACACACAACTTCCTTGATTGTGTTCTCACATCAACAATTACACTCTTTTAATTTAACAATTAACTGTGGCGAATGTAAGCCGTTTTTTCTCGTGTAAAACAACAGGCTCTACGTGCTCGGTTAAGATCATCCCAGCCAACCACAAATTTCCGCCGGGTGTCTCATTAATGTGGTCATGACGTCACACTATTCACTGACATGCGCATTTGTCAATAAAGTGTGTAAAACACTCATTTCCTTTGAAATAGTTTCTCTTTAGTTTGAATCAACGTGTTGTTTGGCATGTAATTCCTGTAGTGTAAAGCGGTTCCGATGTCGGAAGGATCATTGTTGGTATGGATGATACTTATTTTTGTAGTCTCGTTTTTCGGCGTCTTTTCCTTCTAATATTAATCGGTGTATTCCTTTAGTTCCTTCTCCTTGTTCTTCGCATTTTTTTCTCTTGCACGTCCTCTAACATACATATATGCGGACATATGTGTTCTTGTTCTCCTTGTTTTGTTCTTGTTCTTGTTCTTGTTCTTGTTCTTGTTCTTGTTCTTGTTCTTGTTCTTGTTCTTGTTCTTGTTCTTGTTCTTGTTCTTGTTCTTGTTCTTGTTCTTGTTCTTGTTTTCTTAGTATTTATTATCATTTATCTGTTCCTTTCTCTCTCGTAGTTCTTCTTACTTCTTTTACCACAAACTATATGTAAGCTGTAACGTTCAAGTTGTATAGTTTTAACGGTTCCTCTTTCCAATATTTTAGAGTAATAAAAAATCCGAAGTCAATGTTACATTGCTTAAAAATTTGTTCTCGTTTGTCGGGAGCGTGAGAGGGATTTACAATATTGACAGTACGTCCACGGAATACCGACAGAGCCATCCACCAAAAAATAACTGCTTGTGACATTATTAATAATATGCTCTTACTCTTCATTGCTGGTCCCAAAGAGTACTAAGTTGCACCCTTAGCTTTGTATAAATTTCAGTCTGATACTATATGCGAGTTTCAAAAAGACAATAACTATACGTGCGCATTTTATTAATGTTTTCTTGGCTCATAAACATGTCTGAACGAGGCCACTGTGCTCGACTATATTAACTGCAAAATCCCTTTATTAAATGGCTATCGTTTTAATACATTTTCGCGCGTTTTTCGTGCGTTTTGGAACCACTAGGGCGATCCAAAGGGCATCCAAGTTTGTAATTACTCTAAAACATGGCATGATAAGTTTAATAAGAATGTACAGTCCTAATTTGCTTAATAAGAACAGCAGTCAAGATCCTTGACAAACAGCGATTACACTTCCTGACAATAAGGGATTGCCAAAGTCTTGTAAAATGCCTTAAACACACTTGAAAGAGTTGCCGCACACGGATTTAATCGCCTTAAAGTCGAAGAGCACCTGAGATAAATGCCTTTTTATAAAGTATCTGAGTACTTATCCTGAATCTTGTAAAAGGTTAGCTGAGTATGACAAATCATCAAGTGGCAAGTCATTGCCTGAGAATTTGGCGTTTGTAAAACTGGATCAGTTACGTAAAGTTTTTCATTGGATCTTGAATAAAGAAGCTGATATAAAGCAATTGCTCTCTATCTAGTCACTGATTCAGTCGATGATTTCAAGTATTGCCATCATATTGGAATGTAAAACAGTCCATTTTTTCAATTCTATTCTATTTTTTCCTCATTTTTGAAGGTATACTCTTCGAAGTTAGATCCATTTTCGTTGCGAATCTTGAGGTTTTATCTGACGTCACTGACTGGTCAGCCCAGCGAAACTGAATTATTTTCAACTTAAGCACATCAACGCATAGCGCTCCAACGCATCGTCGTGTATTAACCTATGATAACTTTAAATCAGCAAAAATATTCATCTATGCTGAAATTTAAACTTTATGTGGTTAAACTACACACATTCATTGCTCGACTAATCCTAAATAAGTATAGTTTAAAAACGTTTGATTGTTTCAAAATGTTAAATTTTGCCCCGAAAAGAGAGCGAAAACCACATGAAACTTACTCATCATGCAACGCGATCAAATGATATATGGTGGTCAGCGGTTTTTGGAAATGGTTGTATCTTTACGTATATAGTCTAAACCTCTGCGATAAATCTGGAAATACGTAATCAAATATCTAAACTACATCTGATATCTTAATATCTAATCTATCTAACTTAACTGAGTTGCCGTTCAGTTTCAATGACAGAGTCGTCGATGATTCGCACTGCGCATGTGCAGGCACTATAAAGGATGGGTTCATGTACAGTGACAGGCGGATGGAGCTCGGATATGTATAACGCGAATCAAAACGTTACCGCAAACACTACCCGGATGGATAACCAGTAAACCGCGACTTTGGGTTAATTAACACATTAACACGACGCCCGTTCGGCGTGAAATGGCGAGCAGACTTTATCCGATTTATTAGTGTAAACTCGCTTGTTTTTCTTGTGAAGGCGAAAAATGAACTAGTAAAATACATCGATGCGCTCGTTATAGACAAAATCAAAGCTAAGGCAAATAGTTTCAGATGGAAACTAGGAATTAGGTTTGCGCAACCATAGCGAATTCATTAATAAACTCGCCGAATCTGAGACTGGGACTGATAGCATTCTGAGCATTTGGGGAATTTAGTATCTATCGCGTAATATGGTTCACGGTTCAAGTTTTCCCACGATGTTATAGGCGTTTCTTTGAATTAGTTTACCGTACAACTATTTTTCACTGAAAAATCCTATAATAACTGACTCGAATTCCTCGACTTTGTACTCGATCACTTGATAAATCTTGATCTTTATAAATTTGGCAGCTCGTTTCATTGGCGATGAGAAAGGTCAAGGAATTGCTCGATTTCGAAATGCCTGACTTATCCAAAATATTAACTACTGATCTGTTCTAATAGTTGACTGGAATTTCGTCCCATCATTACTTACGTACCAAACAGTCAAAACATTTGATTTTCTTACAACTACGTGCTCGACCTCATTCCTCGGCTCTCCCGTCTTGTGTGCATTCCACGACTATGTTAAATCACAGTGATTTCCTTAACGAATACCGAAGCATGGACGAAAGATGCATGGCACTCTGATAATGACCGCAATTAAATCCAAATTCTTAGGCATTAGATCTATGTTAGACTTTCGCGGCGAAGACATGAGTGGCGATACTTTTTTTACCAAAAAAGAAAAAAAGAAATGAAAAATGAATAAATAAAAGAATAAAATATAAAACAAAGACAACAACGGCAGCGAGCAAGCACAACAAAAAAGTCCAAGCAACAAAAGGAAAACAATGTAAATTGCGATCATCATATATAATTTCTGACTAAAGAAGGATTTAAGTGACACGACCGATTCTTTGATAACTTACCGCTAAAAATACATTCATTGGAAAGTAATTTAAAACCTGAAAAGGAAAGAAAAAAAACGAAAGCATAATGAAACAGAACTGATTCTGAATAATATAATGCAATTGAAAAAAAAATATGAATAAAAGTAAAAAAGAATGATCAAGGAAATAAAGGACAATAAAAAATGGAGATAAAAATTTAGTTAAAGCAAAATGATAACTAAATAAAGAAAGTTGAATAATAAAACTAAAAAAAACAGAAAAACATAAATAAATCATTCAATAAAAATTGACTGGAAATAAAAAAAAGAAGAAAAGATTGAAAAATGTAAACGATGAAACAATATTTAAACCGTTATACTTATTACCCCTCACAAAACATACGTACTCTAATTCCACAACTTCTAGCGTTTTAACGTTATTAAAATAAAGCATCTTTAAACCTATCAAATAATACTACATAGTATTACGTCACTGAAAACGTGGATTATTTGCCTATGAACCGTACGTGAGTCATTTTGATGAAACAGGGATTTTAGCCAAGTGGGGGGCTGCCTCGAAGAATAATCACAACTTCCGATGGCTTTATTGATCGTTGTTTGGCTCGGCATATCTATACAAAGCTAGCTAATACCATAAAGTGATTTCATGCTTATTCCTATAGCTTTGATCCGTATTTCAGCATTAACAGAAATGTTCTCAAAGTGTAGATAATTGCCTATATACCTTTAGATATTAGATTAAGAGTTACTGTAAGGTGTCAATAAGTGAACTTCTAAAGACAGTTAATTAGTTGAATAATCCCCTCTGTTTGCCCAATAGTCGGTCTTGTCCGTGACCCAAAGTTAATTAGGGGATTACGCTAAACGTGTGATGAGGGATTGGGCTTCGCGGATAATAGGCAATAACGCTGGTATTGACTCCTTTCACAGGATGTGGGTTTAAAAACCGTATTTACTGCCGAGTAAAGATCTAAGAAGTTTCACAGTCGGTGTAATCATATGATTATCCAAACCCTAAGAAAGCCTTCCTTCAATTGAAACGGTTAGTTGCACTTCAAGAGCAAGATTCCATCGTTTACGCAATTTCTATAGTGAGCTTGTAATGTTTATTCAAAGCATCAAAACGCTTCAAGCCATGCCACGAAGCCGTCACCTTAATCTATGTTTATTGAACTTCGAATAGAATAAATCCTTCTGCAGGATACGAAGTTCTACTTCAATTAAGCCTCGTGCAGCAATCCCGACTTAATGTACACAAACGTTTGCTTACTAAACTGAAACTTGTCCGAGTTTTGAAAAGCGCAGGAACTTCGTAGGAAGTGTGAACTAGCTCAGTGGCAGGAAGCCTAAAATCTTAAACTAGCCAATGGCTTCCTTAGCGACATACTCCTCCTCTTAGTTTCTTTTATTTTACGACGTTTCCTGTCAATGTAATTACGTTATCATTGGCCACTCCCAGCTTATAAGTCACTATAAAACCTTGTAGCCTCTCACTGATGGTGATTCGACCTCATATTCGCTTGTATAGAACAAATCATGGAGAATCGAAACGGTCAACAAAAACCACGCCAGGTAGGTTGAAGTTGTGGTTGCCAGTTCGAGTGATTGTTTTATTGCTTTTTTATTAATCTCTAAAGGGTCTGTTCTGATGATTTTAGGCTTACAATGAGACTTTTGACGATTGAGTCACTCAAAACACGGTTTTATAACTTTTGAATGAGTATATAGAGAAACATTATAGTCAAATTGTAACTCCTATTATAATAATATTCAGTATTGTTTTGAGTTATGAGATAATTCATTTCTAGTATCACCAAAATAGAGTTTTCCTTTGTAAAAGGAATGATGTTTCAGCAACTCAGATTTACAAAACCGCGTTTTCAAACTCCTAACCATCAGCTAAAGCTAAATTCTGTTCAAATAATTTTGACCTTATCTAACATGGCATACAGAATCATACGTCAACATTATCGAACACTTTAGATTTTCTAAAGTAAATTTGTGTCCTGTCTAAAAATAACTCTTGCTTATGCTGTTGCTATTTCTGAAACACAGCAAGTCCAAAACGCTCCAAAGACTTCCAACAGCTCAGGTTTCTCAATCGAAAATATTCTGAAAGGAACCCGCAGTGAAAGACTGGCACCAACTTCATCTAATGATGCATTGATTCTAGCTGAGAAAATGGCAGGTAACGTTAAAGAGCAGCTTTTTTAAGCACTGTAGGTCGCATAAGATCTTTTCTTTGTTGCCATTGTTTCTCTATTTTAACGTTTTAAACACAATAAATTAGCAAAGTAATGTTTCTTATTTTATTTTTGGAAAAACACTGTGCTAAGATACAAGAGCAAAGCAAACAGACCAAACATTGTGTATTTATTTTGGCGATAACTAAGTCATCTTGTCCACCCGTACAATTTCTCAACAAAATCTCGAATTAAGAGATCATTTAGCGAACTATTGTCAGAGAAGAAAAAAATCTCTAAATTCAATTACAGTGATAAGGCGAATGTGTTAAAATAACATGTGTCTCGAGTAGAGCATGAATTCATTGACAATTGTATTTTGATTTAAGAGCAATTCGCGCTTCTTAGAGATAATTGAATGCTTCATTTTGATAGTGAATAGAGGATATCTAAAAACGAGAAGCCTTATTGAAGCAGGTTTTGTTTTAGTCTGTCATGTTGACGCGCGCAGATGTTCATAGATCAGAGACCAGAACCGTTCTCTTCTTGAGCGTTTTTAGTCTTCAAGGCGACTCCAAGTCTCCGATGCCACGCGCATGGATCGCGCCAAATCAGGTGTTCGCCTCCATGAACAAGTCATCATTTAATCGAGCCATTATCCCAAATTGATAAAAAACCCATCAAAGTACACCAAACCCCTTTGATTACACGGATTTACGAAGGCATTGGCAACAAATGTGGGAATTTCGAACCCTGATTACATGATCGTAACTTTTGTCAATTGGTTCAATTAGCGGGACAAATAGACTCTGTGATAACTATCTTGGACCGCAAGAGTTGCTCCGTCTATCGTCTCATTCAATTCTATAAGTGGCCCGGTCCAATAAGGGAATTGTTTTGCTTTACACACGTGCCGAGGAATACGGGACTCATTCTTGGCTGCGTCTAGGGGACACGTTTCTGTAGTGTTACCTTTCAAGGTGATCAAATGATCTGTCAGTTTTACTAAAAACTTTCGATAAATGAATGAGTTATTGACCAATGGTCTTTAAGAGATCATGAAGCGAACAATGGTCGTCTTCAAAACAGTTGTAATTGCACTCGAGAATTGACTAATCACCCCATAGGAAAGTCATCTATTTTAACTTGTTCTTTCACTTTGTTTCCTTAAGTATCCTAAGAAAACTTTTTGACCTTATTGAAAAAATTTATAAGATTTTTAGTATGTCATAATTAGTTTTATAGCTTTGTATGTAGTTGACTTAAGTTTGAAATGAATCTTAACTGAAAATTCCCGAGCTTCAAAAAAGCCATATATTGCTTTTTGTCGTTACATCTGCAGTTAAAATGTTAACAAAGTGTTTAGCCTCGAATGAAGTTATTTTTATGGATTTCTAAAATGATTAGACTTTTGCGTTTGTCTTTAAAATCCAACCTGATCTTCCTCAAACAATAAATGACGTACACGAATCAGTTTTTGGCTAAAAATAAAACTAGTTCTCTTTTTAAATTTGCAGAAAATTACCTTTTGTTGGTATGGTTGGTCACAAAATAGTTAAACTATGGTCACAAAATCTCTGATTTCTGATCACATAAAACCCTCTTGTTATCCTACGTTATAGTTATAAAGAGACCACATGCAAAGTTATAGTTATTTTATGTAAACATAAGCTCTATTTTTACCTATAATCCTAGCGGAATAAATCTCTAACTGCCGTTAAAGGTAACCTAAGTTGAACTTAACGGGACAAAAGTCTTCTCATAAGATAATTCAACTCACAATTCCAGCTTTTCTAAGTTCAAGGTGTATAAAAGGACACACTTGATTCATTGAATTTCTTTTTAAAGTTTAAACCACTTCAAACATAATACAAAATCTTTTGTTGTGACGAAACCTTGCTTGCATGGAATTCTTTGACTTTTCTACTTGTCACTAAAGCGCGGTAATCAATTTGAGGCGATATGATTGTAGTTGGTCGGTATTGGGAAGTGTATTCAGTCGTCCATCTGTAGTCCAGCTAATTAAATTGTGATCATTGTTTAAATTGCCCTGATTAACCTTTTATCTCCACTTGTATGAAAAGCTTAGTRCGTCTTTGAAATCAAGATCGCGATGTCACAGAGAATCAACCAGTTAATCATATGCCCTGTATATGTCAATTGCCAGACAACTCTTTCTCTTTTCAAACTTAAGTGGATTCAAATTAGAGGGATTCCAGTCTTGCACAGGACACAACGTGTCCAACTAGGTTTACCAAAGCTTTTACTTTATACAAATATATAGTTCGGCTTATCGTGGATATAATCTGAGTAATCACACGGATCTGACACTAGCATATGGCTTACTATAGGGTCTATAGGGACTTTACATGTATAGTGTACAAAGACGATCCAATGTCAGGATTTCTGATGGATGGGGGAGATGGTTCCGGGGGTTGAAAACAGCCAGGTGTATTGCAATACCGCAGAGACGAAAGTCTGTAACACTCTCTAAAAAATAACAAAACACTGTCATTGTTAGCAAGCTATAGTAAGTACAATGCYCCGTTTTGTATCTTTATCAAAAAAACATAGTTTTTACTAAGTTTTATTCTATTCTATTCAACTCTTAATTTAACAACAGCTTTGTATTAATATGGTAACAATTAATTATGATTGTATTCTGCTGTACTGACGATTTGTTTTTATCATCACAAAACTTTTTCTTGAAACGAAAAATTTCACTGCTTAAAAGAGCTAGTGAGATACTTGATTTCTTCTCGAAAATGTTGAGTTTTAATTGAAGTATTTTAATACTTCAATTAAGCTAAACGCAACGCCTAAATGACCAACAATTTCATACCATCTTCAAGCTTTCTTACGTACAAATTTCACTAATAATAGTATGTTTAAAACAACACTGAAAATATCTTAAATAGTAAGGGAAAAAGTAAAAGATTTTCTTCGGCGTAACTGAAATTGAAAGTCCTGGAACGACGGCGATCAAATTCGATATTTTTGGGGGCTCAAATCGATATAGCACACTCTGTATCTAAAACGCTATCAGGAAATGTCTTTGAACGATGTCATGTACTGCCTTTATCGAAAACAAGCTTTTTAAAATGACAAGTATTTAGAAAAACCTACAAATCATTGATAAGGACGACAGCGTTATGGCGAAACGAACACCGTACTTGACGTGCGTGCATTTTCATTTGAAGTCATTTTCATTCACAATGGAGATACAAACTATGTTACCTTTTATGGCTTCAGTAACGATTTATGTAAGATTTATTTAATGTTTTTAATAGTTTTTCGCGGTCTTCTTGTCATCTTTTTTTGGACTTCAATGTCCATTGCCTCGTGTGTCTTGTCATTCCTTTAATTGTCTTGCAGGTAGATATATTTACGCTTTGTTTTATCTTCGGATCACGACGCGTGCGTGTTCCCGCTGTGAGAACCATTGCGGCGCTGTTACTATATTTTGCATTTCTATACATGTGGAGCCAGTCTGACCGTTCGTTCGTTCGTACGTTTGACCTTCAATTTGTTAACATATTTTCGATAACGTTTATAACCCCACGCGCGTCGTTACGTTTTTTTATACGTACATTTGACTTCCAAGATTTAATAATATTGTACTTACGTTTACGCATGATAACTGAAAGATAGTCGTTGGACCGTTTTTTATACGTGCGCTTGACCTTCGGATCAAATAATATTGTACTTACGTACGTTTTACGCACACGTTTACCGCGCGTTTTACGCGCACGATAAACGAAAAACATTGGAGACAGTTGTACTGTATTCTTTGCGTACGTTTTCACCTTTATTGATGAATTTTCACTTAAGTCGAACGCCAGTTTAAGCACGATAATTGGAAAACATTTTACTGAAAAGTTTCGTAAAAAGATAAGGGCGTGGCCCATATGAATCGGAAAACTCGTAGATTTATATTCGGTACCGAATGAATGATCTTACCACACCTGACTAAGGTTATTAAAAAGCCCTCAAGACAAGTGAATTGGCTTTGACAAAAACTAAAGAGAATAGCCGGTGGATATTGAAATTTCCATGACATGTAATTAATAAAATGACAAGTAGACCTTTAACAATACAATAAAGGCTTAGTCTTGTTATCACCGTGTGTAAAGAAAACGTTGATTCACTTTGGCTTAGCAGGATAACTCCTTACAAAGCTCGCGCAAACACAGACTAGAGCTAATTTCCTGACTTTGATTCTATTTTGGGGGCTGATTAGTGAGACACGATTAGGGGGCAACACTTATGGATATATTTAATATGTTCACACTCAAACAAAACTGATTTATCCTGCCTCAAGAGAGATTAATCTTGATGGAATTATACGCATTACAGCTAAAGAACACTTTTTCAACCGCTTAAGAATATCGCAGACGCACGCATGAAAACGAGGCATTTAAGGGCAAAAATATAATCGAGGTTCGGAAAATACGTGCATTCCAACGATAATTTTGAAAGGACCATCTTGAAAATCGTCTATTGTCAGCTTTAAATACTCGTTAATTATATTGTCTTATTGGTTTGCTAGCTGTCAATTATAAAATCAGCCAATCACGATCAAGGGACTTTTCGAGAAGTTTTTGTTCTGTTTCCAGAGATCGTGGACATTTTGTCCGATTTACAGAGGTCCCGGACATTCTGACTTTAGAGTTGCCGTTGTTAACAACCAAGAATTTATTGGTAACTTTTTTTATAACTCTTTTTGCTTTAGATATCATTCTCAAAGTAGCAGATGGGCGCAAGATTCGACGCACGCGCACTACCTTCAACCAATTTCAGCTGGACACGCTTGAGAGAACATTTTGTCGCACTCATTACCCAGATGTACTGTTAAGAGAGCAACTGGCGCTATATACAAACCTACCGGAGTCACGTATACAGGTTAGGAATATAATATTATTATTATGATGATTGATGATGATGATTATCATATGATTACCATCATGCTATCTTCATCACTATGTATTTATAATCCCATGGAATGGCATGCGCACTAACGGTCTTTCTGTGGGACACGTTGATTTTAGTCTAGCCTTTCATACTAGGCTCGGACAACTGTGTAACCCGTTTGAAATTGGATATCATATTAGTATTTATTCATTGATTGAATAACAGTTGATTGGTTGTCTGGGTGGCTGGCTGGCCGGTTACTTGCTTGCTTGGGAGTTGGTTGGAGATTGCTTAATTGTTGGTTGATTGATTGGCTGGTTGAGTTGGCTGGTTGCGTGCTTGCTTGGGGGTTAGTTGGAGATTGGTTGGTTGGTCGATTCATTGGCTGGTTGTGTTGATTGGTTGTCTGGTTGGCTGGCTGGCTGGCTGGCTGGTTGCTTGCTTGCTTGCTTGGGAGTTGGTTGGTTAGTTGGTTTATTGGCTGCCTTGAGTTGATTGGTTGCTTGCTTTGGGGGTTCGATGAAGATTGGTTGATTGATTTTCTGGTTGATTGGTTGTCTGCTAGGTAGGTTGATGAATATGACTGATATTTCTTCTTCTTAGGTTTGGTTTAAGAATCGCAGAGCGAAATATCGCAAAGCGAAAGAATCATCACCAGCAAGCTCTTCGTCGATAACAGACGAGACAGACAAAGAAACTACTGAAGATTCTCCGGCCTTACCAGACAGTACAGAGTTAAGCCAATCAGATAACCAATACATCGTACTCGACAAGGCCAATGCTGATTTCTTCAGAGCAGCACACGGAACTCCATTACGTCCGACACCCATTCATTCGATAGGACCTATGTATGGGTACCCTGTGTCACCATATATGGACCCTCGGTTAATTCCGAACGGTCGTTTTACATTAGACTGGCCAAGTATGCATAGTGTAATACATTATTAGCGATAGGATAGTCGCTTGTTACTTATATAATCACTGTTGTATTTAAGTTTTTTTTCTTGACAAATAT